TAAACAATATCTGTGATAAAACATTCCTCCTGCAGGGGCCGACAGCTCCCCTCACCCAACCTTGGGATGCCACGAGACCAAAGGGAGCTAGCCTGGGGCCAGTCTCTGAGCTTCTATTGAGACCCTGGCATCACCCAAAGCTCAGGCTTCAAAAGCTTTAGTTGCAAGACCTTTTCTCCCCCTGCCCCCAAGTCTCACCAAAAGCCCTAATAACAGGACAGCAGGTATAGTGTGGTGAACAGCAACGCTGGGTTCAAATCCCAACTCACCCACTCACTAGCTGCGTGCGAATTATCTAACCTCTGTGTCCACTCCTCGTTTATGAAATGGTGATGATGATGTAAGTAATTCACAGGCTGTGGTAAGAGTTGAAGGAGTTCAAATGGTAAAGTGCTTAGAGCAATGCCTGGCACAAACACTATATACGGGCTCACTATTATTAGAACAGCCTCTCCCATAGGTTATTTGAGCGGAGGCGACACATCCATAACACCCAGGAAGGAGAAGACCCTGATCTACTGGAATCTGCCTGAATCCATTGCCTGGGCCCTGTTTCCAGGTAAAAGCCCAGACGCATGGATGCCTCCCTTCCCTTAAACCAGTGGTTCTCAACCTTCTGGCCCTTTAAACACAGTTCCATGTTGTGATTCAACCATAAAATTATTTTCGTTGCTACTTCATAACTGTAATGTTGCTACTGTTATGAATCGTAATGTAAATATCTGATATGCAGGATGGTCTTTGGCGACCCCTGTGAAAGGGTCGTTTGACCACCAAAGGGGTCACGACCCACAGGCTGAGAACCGCTGCCTTAAACTAATAAAAGCCTGCAGACAGAGCACCAAGCAGTCCCAGATTCTGTCAAATGCTTTTGATGGCAGAGAAAAAAAACAGGGAGGTGCCCAAGTGCACGCTGGACCCAGAATTCCTTCACACTCACCTCAAGTGCTAACCCTGGACGTCCTGCCAGGGGCTAGGGGTGTGGCTGGCTCTTAAGAGACCGCTGGTGGACACATAATGGACCCAGGGGTACCAGGCCTGGACCCAGCTATAGTAAACACAGTGGACAAGATGAGGATGAGAGGACAGCAAGAGACCAAGGCCAAGTCAAACTGTCACCCCCTTAGCTGCCATTAATTGGTCTTTCTATAGTTTACCATCAGGCTAACATAAAAATGTCTTTAACTAAGAAAACAACAACAAAAAAGTCTTTAACTTTTGGAAACTCAAACATTCGCCCCCCCAACCCAAGATTCCAAATTCTACCCTTCCCTTAGGGGGCCCCCAATGACTAATTACTATAACTTAGTATTACCTTGTATTATGAAAGTAAAGTCTCCATTTTCAAAACAGCATGTTTACAAACCACACACACCCCTCCCCATAAACACTGTACCACCTAGCCATCCCTCAAGAATCCCTAAAACAGGACATGTTTGGGTCTGAGGTTGAGCAGCATTGCAAGCCAGTCCTGAGCAGGCTTCATGTGCTGTATTACCTCACCTTCTAGAGCTTGGGCACCAGGCATGACCTGCCTGGCGTAGAGTATTGAGACCGACGCTTAGCTCTTTCCCTTCAGACCCTCCGCTTAATTCCTCCTTGCTCTCCTGAGCTTTCAAAGGGTATCAATGCTTCTAACACATCTCCTTCCCTAGAGGCAGAAAAATACCAATGTCCCCTGAAGGTTGCATGAGCATAATATGCCCCCCAATAATGTTGTAACATGGCAAACTTCTGGTAATCATCCAAGCAAGCCATGTGGTTCCACAATCAACCTCCACTTTTATACAAGCTTCTAGAGGCCCGGTGCATGAATTCGTGCACAGGTGGGGTCCCTCGGGGTGGCCTATGGAGATTGGGCCCCAGCTCGTGCTCCCAGCCTCACAGCCCCGCCTGGCACCCTGCCTTGGCCTGGTGCTGCCCCCTCACCTGCTCCACCATCCCGCCTGTGGGGCAAACGATTGGGACCAGGGCCCCTGCTCCCTACCCCCCACCACCACAGCTGGTTGCAGTCTGCAGGGCTATCAGTTGGGGCTGGGCCCCCAACCTGGCTCCCTCAGTGCCTGGGAGCTGGGCAGCAGCCCCACCACCCGCCAATGGTTGCTGTCTGTGGGGCGATCAGGCCCTGCTTGCACCCGCCTTGGCCTGGCGCCACCCACTCTCCTGCTCCATCATCCCGCCTCGATCCCGCTCTCAACGGGGCCCATCAGGGCTGGCAGCACCTCCACTGCCACCCCCTGCCAGAACCACATCACCTACACCCACCATGTTCCGCACCGTCCCCTGGTGGTCAGGGCACGTCATAGCCAGGGGACCGCCCGAGGGGACCATTTGCATAATAGGCTTTCATTATATAGGATTCTCTCTTCTTGGAATGCCTTTCCCACCCTCACTGGTCTAACAACCTCCTACTCAGCCACATCTCAGGGAGGGCAGACCTCGTAACTTCTCAGTGGCACCACCCTATCACTTGCTGATATCCCCTTATTTTATCTACCATTGTATTCAACATTCCGTAGCTTCCTGGCAAATCCTTCTCACCCCCCAGTCTGTGATCTTCCAACTATATTTCTGACCCTAGTCCAGAAAAGGAACCTAATATTTATGATACGGATGAAGCCCCCATGGGTAAGGTGGGCAACCAGGGAGAGCCCAGGCAATAAAGACAAAGCAGTTGTCCAAGAGTCCAGGCTACACCAAGATGAGCAGCCCCACTGAAACCCCATCCTGGAACCATGAAAATACACCCTTCTCCAGTGATCTAACACCTTTAGGAATTGAGGTCTTATGTGGGCCAAGTAGGATTCCTCGATTTTCTAGGGTTGCTTTAGTTAACCTCCATAGTCAGCTGGGGAGAGCCAGCCTAGGTCAGCCATGAGAGTAAACCCTACTGCTAACGCAGATTCCCTAGGGGGTGGCTCTTAGGGGTAGCAGAACTAACCACCTAGGGGGCATCTATGCTAAAGGGAAGGAGTCCAGTTCCAGCTCAACCCACCAAGCTAAGATGGAACCCCAGCAAGAAAGCTCTTCGCCCACTCACTGTTCAGAAGGCTAATCAGGGAAGGGGGCCAATCCTTGTGCTTACCTGACCAGACAGCACTGGGCTCCAGGAGATCCCCAGAGCCCTCGGTTTTAGATCTTTAAACAGGGCCCTCCACCAATACCAGCTGCACTGACTCCCTGACCTCTTACAGTGCTGTGGCCACCCCCACCCCCAAGGAGTAGCAAGGATTCCACTTCTTGAGGATTCTGCCCTCTCTCTCAGAAAAGGCACTTAGAAAAAGTGACCCGTACCTGAAATGTTTCTCCAAGACTCGCCTGGCCACATGGTTCACCCTTCCCACCTCAAAGCGGTAGGTCTGAGGGCTAGCCCAGCCTCTGGGGCAGCGTGAGGTCCCTGCTTAAGTCAACCCTCGAGCAGAAGTAGCATTCTGGGTCCTTGTCCAGCTTTGTAGGAGACAGCTTTTCTCCCTCAATTTCAGCTCACCGGAAGGCCAAGCAGAGGCCCCACACACCAGCAACCCTGTCACCCTCCCCCAACTCTAAGGGGGAGATTCTGAACAACCAGGTGGAGTCAGGATGGGGTTAAGGTCCGAAATGCCAAGACCTGTGGGCATCAAGATCCAAGGAGGACAAGACCTTCAGGAGCCAAAACAACCCCACCATACTAGAGCCCACACCACACTAGTGGACGGATGTCAGGGCCTCCCTTGCCACACTCAGAGTGAAGAGGTGTGTATCCCGCTTCCCTCCCCCCAACCCCCACCCTCCAAAAAAAAGCAGAATTTAGACCTAGATTCTCAAGATGTCATGCCATTGGTGGACTGGGGCTGGCAGCTGGCTCTGAGTTGCTAAGAGTGGGAGCCGGCAGTGTGACCCTCCCACCATCCCTCCCACTTTGAGGAGCCCAGCCCAGCAGTGGGGCTGTGGCCGCCATTCTGCACCAAACCTATAGCACGGCCAGGCCAGCCGCAACATCACCGGAATGGAGGGGGTAGCAACACCAGCCCCCACCAAGGGGCTCTGCGGTTTCTCCCCCAGACCAAGGGGAAGGGAGCTCAGGATGGATAACTGGTCCTTGGTTTCCTGGGCAAGAGCATGGCAGGGTGGGGCAGGAAGGGTCTCTCGGCCCTGGAGTGACACAGCAGCGGCCCAGGCCCTTCAAGGGAGCTGCAAACCCTGTCCCCTTTCCACACCGGTTTTTGTCTTCGAGGCCCAGCTCCTGGTCTCCATCCACTGATAGCCAAATCCACCACCGCACCCCCCACATCCTCCCTGATTTCACCATCCCATTAACCACCCAGCTGCTGGAGGTTCCACGAAGCCACCTCATACTCCCAAGTCTTAGCACATGGCTGGCGGACCAGATAACGTCGCCTCTGCTTTCGGAATCCATCCAGGCCAGCTCTGGGGTCCTAGCTTGGCTGCCTGGGCAAAACCGAAGGGAGGCCAACTGGGAAGTGTCTTTAGGCATCGCCTTCCCAACTCTAATTAACTGCCGGCTGATCTCTTCGCCAGAGCCCTGTTCTGGGGCTGTGAGGGAAGCCCGTGCACCCGCCACCACCACCAGCTCTAGTGAACCACGGTGCCGGCGGCTGCCCCGGGCCTCCAAGGTCACGGGAGGGGTCAGGGTGGAGAGGGCACGGGACGGTGCCGCCCGCCCGCCCGCCGCGCTAATCCCGCTCAGCTCCTTCCAGCCGAGGTGGGAGTCCGGGCCCTGCGGGGAGGCGCCGGGAGGAGAGCAGCCAGTCGGGCCGAGAGCGGAGGACTAGGGACGCGCGGGCAGGAGGCGCGGGGCGGCCGTGGTGCCGCTCGCCCACCGCGGGACGCACGGACCGCGGCCGGCGCACGGCCCGCCCCAAGCCCCGGAGGGCGGGGAGACAATGCCCGCCCGGCGGGGCAGTCCAGGCCGTGCGCCCCCGCCCGCCGGACACGGGCTGCTCCTCCCCGGTCGAAGGGCAGCGGCGGGAAGGCTCCGGGAGCGATGGCCGGACCGGCCCGGCGCGCCCTCTCTCCCGCCCACCTCCGCGCGCACTTCACCCGACCAGTCCCGGGGCGCAGACCCACCTCCTCCTCCAGGGTGCCGCCGGAGCCCGAGCCCGTGCCGGTGCCGGTGCCGGTGCTGTGCTCGTCGTCCGGCTTCAGGTTGCTCATGGTGCGGGGGGGTGGGAGGGGTGACGAGAGGAAGGGAACGCGGAGGGCGAGAGCGGCGCCGGCCCCGGCGAGGAGGTGGGAGGGGGCGCGGTGAGCGGTGCGCTCCGGGGGTGCGGGGCGGGGTGGCGGTGGGGGGCGCGCGGGGCGGTGAGAGGGGCGGCCGCCGCGTCGGGCCGGGGTCACATCAAGTTTGGCGGGTGCGGGAGGCGGGGAGGGGGTGCGGCGGGGGAGGCACTGCGAACCGGAGCCGAGCCGTAGTGGCCGCCGCCTCCGCCTTTTCACTGCGACCGCCGAGTGCGCCCGCGGCGGCGGCGGCGGCGGGGGGCGGGCGCCGGGGGAGGGGGCGGGCGCCGGGCGGCGGCGGGGGGCGGGGGCCGGAACCGGCCTCAGCTGGGGCCGGGCCAGCCCCCCGCCCTCCGCGCGGTCTCCGGGGGAACGCGCAGCCAATCGCCGCCGCCCACTGAGGACTCGCCCCGGCCGGGCCGCGGCGCGCTGGCCCCCGGCGGGGCTTTCCCCCTCGCTCTCGTGGTCTCTCCCGCTCCCATCTTTCCCCTTTTCCTTTCTCCACAAGTTTTTAAACTTTGATGAACTTGCCCGGCGAACTTTCTTAAAGGGGCCGCGCTCTCCCAGCCCGCGGGCCGTGGAGCTGGGTGCCGGGCGCCCCTGCGTCCCTCGGCATCTCCGCCCCGGCGACCCCACGTGGGGGGCTCCCACAGCTGGACTCCTGAGTCGTCGGCTTCAGGAAGTGGGCTCCGCTTGTGCCCTGATCCGGGATCATAGGGCCCGGGGCACCCATTGCACCCCAAAATTCAGCGCCCAGACCTGGCCCGCGCGCTCCGCTCTCCCAGGAGCTCGGGGTTGCTTTGGGGGGCAGATTCTGGGGAGGAGCGCGGGGCCGTGGGGTGGGCGCGGACACCTGGGCTTTGGCCTCGGCTGGGCGCAGTTTTGCTGCGTGACCTTGAGGAAATCGCTTCCCCTCTCTGGCCGCAGGCTTCCAGCCCCGAGGGTGGGACGTAGACCTCAGCTCCCTTCCCAACCCCGGCCGCCGCTGGGACTCTGGGCGGAGAGACGAGTCTTGGGGATCCAAATGGTCACAAGCTCCAGCAGGGGGTACCTCCCGTGACTGAGAAGGCTCCGTGCGCCCTCCCCTTCCCACCCTCCAGCTTTGGGTGCTCTCTAACCACGGCCTCAAGCCCCCCACACGAACACACCTTGCCCCTCCCATTCAGAGCCCGGGGCACAGGGAAGGGAGAGCCGCCTGCGGCCGGGGCGCGGCGGCAGCGACTCCCCTCCTCGCGTCTCCAGGGCGCGGCCCTCGGAGGGCTTTTCCTCTGACTTTTGAAAACCCGCTGGGCCTGAGGCCGGCCCCTGCCGCCACCCTGTACAACCCTCCCCCCCACCTCGCTGTGCTCTTCAAGCGCAGCAGCCACGAGGCCGGTGGAGCTGCCCCAGGACTGGCCCTCCCTGGCGCCCCTGGCTCTGAACTCGAGCTGCGACCCCGGGAACCCCGGCCAGAGGCTCCGTTGGGACGGAAGAGACCGGCGGGACCTGGCCCGGATCCGGCGTGGCCGGGCGTGATTTGCCTCCCTGCTCCTAGTTTTTGCTCACTTTCCCGGGCCAACCTGGTCGCCGCACCTGCGTTTTAATGTTGGACGCGGCGCGCGGCGTCGGTGGAGTGAGGTTGGGGGGCACTCACAGACCAGTGAGGATCCCCGACCCTAGACCGGTGACTCAACCCTTCAGAGCCTCAGTATGCCGACCTGCTAGGTAAGGCTCGCGCGGCCACCCGGGAGTATCTAGTGGGGCGGCTACGACAGACGTGCCTGACTTAGTCTCCACAACAAATCTTCATCTCCTTCCTAGCCTGCCACTTCACAGTTGGGTAATTGAGGTCTAGAAATAGGCAGTGTCTTTCCCAAAGACACATTCTCCCAGTAAATCACGGTTGAGCACCTACTATGTGCTGGTGGATAGGCCAGAAGCACCCTGGTTCCCCACCGCCCTCATTGTGAACGTTAGGTTCAGGCTCCAGTATGAGGGGAACCGCCTCCTTTAGGGAGCCGGCACTGCCATTCCGTGCGAAGTGCTTCACTTTACCCAAACGTTTTTAGGTACTTCCAGCCTCTGGCACCTCCAGGTGGAGCCAACCTTGTGAGTCCGGAGACATCCAGACCATCCTTCATAAGCCGCAGTCCACCCAGCATCATCTCCCCCACCCCTGCCCTAGACCTTCCCAGTTGGCGAACCACCAGCTTTGTCCCATCGAGATTATTCCTCCTCTTCCTCCTCCTCCCTTTTTCTTTCCTCTCTGCTTTTCCGGCCTTCTCAATCCAAATCCTTACTTCCCTCAAATTCCTGCTTCAGTTCGGCTCCCTTTTCTGCCAGGAGGAGAAGCCTGGCCAGTTTTCTAAACTCCGGTATCTTCAGTTAGTTTGGAATTTTTCAAAGAGGAAGGGCGTCTCATCTTGCCCTTCAGGTTCCCATTTTATAGAGAAGGAAGCTGAGGCCCAACGAAGAGACAAAGGACACAGCGTCCACAATTGACCCCCACTGCTGTATTTTTCCGTGACATGAAGCTGATGATTATTTTTAAATATTTATTACTTTTCTGATGATAAGAGCAATATATGCACATCGTTGAAGAGTTGTAAGCTATAAAATAGTTTAGGAAACAATCTGCCATCTAGAGAGCAATTTATTAATATTTCCTTCTAAACTTTTTGTCTGCAAAAATTTGCGATCTATAGTTTCAGAACCCCCTTTTTCTTAAATTTGTCATGAGCATTTCTTAAAATTATTCAGTCATAATTTTTTATTATTGTTAACCCCCATGAGATGTGCCATAATTTTTTTAATATACTTTTTTTATTGATTTCACAGAGGAAGGGAGAGAGAAACATCAGTGATGAGAGAGAATCATTGATCGGCTACCTCCTGCATGCCCTTTACTGGCGACTGAGCCCGCAACCCAGGCATATGTCCTTGACTGGAATCGAACCCGGAACCCTTTCACTGAGCCAGACTGGCTAGGGCGATGTGCCACAATTTGACATCTTTTGTTATTAGACATTTACATTCTTTCCAGTTTTATTCTCTTTTGCCTTCATGAGAAGCACCTTACACGAGGATTCTTATTGCTTCAGAAAGCTTCCTGGATGTGTGGCCAGCCTTTAAGCATATTGGAGGCAGCACCTGTCAGTCCTCCTCGTATCCCCCACAGCCCCTGAAATGGAAGAATCTCTGACTCCAGAGGGATTGGGAGATTATGTCAACGCAAAGGTCCCACCCACCCGGGTGTGAGTATCCAGTTGACGCAAATGGGGCTAGAGAGAAGAGTTCAGGGCAGCCGTGGGCAAACTACGGCCCCGCCAGATCTGGCCTGTTTGAAATGAATAAAACTAAAAAAAAAAAAAAAAAGACCGTACCCTTTTATGTAATGATGTTTACTTTGAATTTATATTAGTTCACACAAACACTCCATCCATGCTTTTGTTCCGGCCCTCCGGTCCAGTTTAAGAACCCATTGTGGCCCTCGAGTCAAAAAGTTTGCCCACCCCTGGTTCAGGGTATACAACTCCGGCAACTGCCTGGCGGGTGAGAACTTTTAACTCAGTCTCTTCCAACTCTGACCTGGTAACCCAGCCTCTAGCAACCTCTTCAGTGCCCCCTCCTCCCATGGTGCCAGGCTTCCCATTACCTCTGAGCTTCTCACATTTCTGTTCCCCCCTCCCTTCCCCAGCTTCCTGATCTTTCCCCACCCACACCCCTTCCCAAATGCTCTCATAGGGCCTTCTCTGTGTCCTCTTGAGCCTGGGAAGACCTCGTCTTGCAGTCTCACCTACCAGATGTGAAAATCTCTGACTCTGAGAAGTATCCACAAAACTTGCTAAGTGAATACAGCCTCACCTTTCCATTTCAGCAGAGAACTTGATGAGTGATGGGCATTTGCAGTGGTAGATGTTCAATAACCCTTTGCTGAAATGATACTGGACCATTCCTGGGGCCTCTGGGTTATCTGGGGTATATGGCCCTTTCTCTTTGATTTATTGTACATAATTATCCTTTGGTGTCTTATTCTTAGGGGATGGAAAAGATTCAGATGGCCTCACTCCTGAGAAATGCTGCCCTAGGACCCACCCAGCATCCTGAGGGTATGTATGCCTTGCTACTTTCTAACCTCAGCTTCCCCACCATCAGGAAAGCCTGGGCAATGAGAAGGCAGGAAGAGAGGGTGACCTTGAAGCCCAAAGGCTGGGCTGTAGCTAAGGTGTATTTTCTTGGCATTTACAGGTTTAAGCTCCCCTTGGTGTAAGAGGTCTCAGGAAGGGAAGGGGGCTGGATGCTGACATTTATAAAGTACCTACGCCTTCCTGCCCCAGGCAGTTAATGTGCAGTCTGACTTAATCTTCCCATTGTTCCTGCTATTCCTAATTAAAGATTAGAAAACTGAGACCCAGGAATATTTGGGAACTTGCCTAGCTACTAGTGGATGACATGGATGATGGGGGAAATGTGAAATAGCCCTGGGACAGGATTCTGATTCTGTGACCTTGGGCAACCTACCAGCTGAGTATCGAGTTCATCTGTAAAATGGGAATACAGTGCACAACTTCAAGGATGTGTTATACAAGTTAAGTAAGAGCTCCTGGTAAGCTCTTGTTGATTGTGATTATTACCCTTGATCCTACTGCTAGTTTAAAGGTGGCCCTGGTCAAGACCGAAAACTGGGTCTTTTCAACCCAAAGTTCCTGAGCTCTCTCCTTCTCCCCTTGCCTCCTTTCCTCTGGGCCACACAGTTACCTAGATCCCAAGTTCAAATCCAAAGCAAACAGTATTTCTAAAAAAAACAAAAAAAACAAAAAAAACTGTGTCAGAAGGCCCGGGTTTGAGTTTACGTGACCACGGGCAGGTCGTTTAATCTCCCTGTGGCTTTGTTTTCTCATAGTAAAACGGGAGGTGCCTTTCAGGCTCTCCTGAGTATTATCCAGGCTCTCTTGAGTGTTAAATGAGATCCCAGCTCTGGAAGTTCTATGAGGGCCTCAAAGCTCTAGGGCAGTGGTCGGCAAACTCATTAGTCAACAGAGCCAAATATCAACAGTGCAACGATTGAAATTTCTTTTGAGAGCCAAATTTTTTTAAACTTAAACTATATAGGTAGGTACATTGTTATTAACTTAATTAGGGTACTCCTAAGGCTTACCAAGAGCCACATTCAAGGGGCCAAAGAGCTGCATGTGGCTCGCGAGCCGCAGTTTGCCGACCACGGCTCTAGGGCAACAAGAGGAGTGATTATAAAATCAGCAAAGGAATAGAACCAAGAACTTCACTTCGAACCCAGTCTTCCCAAGAGGCAGTGTCTCTGCCCTCCCTGCACATAATGTTATTTTTTCTGTTTCCATGTGGCTGAAAATGAGGGGAGGACCCTGAGGACAGGGGTGGTATCTTTTTCTGATCTTTGAATTCTCAGTGCCCAGCTCAGGTCCTGGTGGAGGGGGTTTAAGGAATGAATATTGAATGAATGAAAGGCTTGAGTTGCCATGGAAAAAATCCCTGAGAGGGGTATTTTTATACTAACATGTCAATAACTGCTTTTTCTTCCTTCTCCCAAAGTGGGACAGAGAGTAGGATGCCAGGAACCTGAAAAGTAAGCAAAAGATTAAAAAACAACAATCAGAAACCCAAAAGGGGTGTCTGGGCAGGTCAAAGGTTCCTAGCCTAGATTCTGGGTTCCCAACTGACACCTCCCTCTCTGCAGCCAGAGCCAGTTCCTATCCCCACTGCCAGTTCCTATCCAACCACTGGGCCAGTGGTCTTTGCAAATGGGGAAACTGAGTTTCAGCGGCTGAAATCAACATCTAAGGTCACACAGCCAGGCACTGAATTCATCTTATACTTTCTATTTAATTTCAAAGGCAGATAGCTTGGAAGTTTTCTTTCTAAGAAAAAAAAACCAAACTAATCACAGATATTTTCATATGGAGCCCTCAAATGATCTTTTATCCTTTAGAAAGTGTGTGTTTAAAAAAAAATAAGGTTCTGGCAACGATTAAATGGCACTTGCTAAACTTTTACTGTTTTCGAGTCCTTCCCAGGGAACCAAAGGTCGCTGAGAATGCCACCCTGGCCTGCGTCCCTGCCTGAGTTGCAGGTCTCTCAGAGCCTGAGAGAGGGCCCCCCACGCCAGACAAATTGCAGAATTGCCTGGCATGCCAGGAAGCTGGCCCCACTAGACAGTTTCCGAGAAAGACCTATGGACTGAAAGTAGGAATAGTTGTACTTGACCCAGGGTCCAGTGGGGCAAATGACACTCTTCTGGGGACTGGCTCTGCATAGAGTGGGGTGGGGAGGGGCCAGGAGGGAGGATGAGCTGGGTCTACCTTCCCCACTGAAGTTGCCAGTGAGGCTCCTTGTACAGTCTTTTTTGCTTTCCAAAAAGCCTCTGATTCATAAGGGAAAGGGATCAGCTGCACTCATTCTCTCTTAGACGTCAGGGATTTAAGGAGGCAGTATGCTTCCCCTGAGGTGGGCATTGCAGACCATAGAATCTGGTTAGAAGGGGGCCTAGTGGTCACACAAGTCAATGGGCCTCACACTTGGCTGCAGACCAGAATTGCCTTTTGAAGAAGACAGACTCCTGTGGCCCAGCAAAAACAACTGCATCCAAATTTCTGGGGGCAGACCTTAGGGATCTCCTGGTACCCTAGCAACTAGAACCCCGGGACCTGAATCCAACTGCCTGCAGCAAACACGCGAATCTCCACCAAAGACTAATCCAGCCTTGGCCTGAACTTGGGGGAAAGCAACTTCACCCACCCCAAACGGCTCATCCTCCTGCTACACCTCCAGCTCTACTTACAGTAATATTGTTATCAGGTAATGATTAGTGATAATTAACATATGTCAGGTACTTGGCCATTGATCTCTTAGCACAGAAGCTGAGCTTCCAAGTTCTAGACTGAGACAGGCCTGGGTTCCAACCTTGGTGCACTTTATATTTGTTTTTGTGACTTTGTGCAAAGTGACTAAGGACTCCAAGCCTCAGTTACTTCATCTGTGAAATGGGGACAGTTTGTGTAGAATTACACAACAGTGCTTGGCATTATGTCCTGTCAATGAAAAATTTAAGGTGTGCCTCTGGTTAAACCCAAATCTGTCTCCCTGTTCCTTTAGGCAACTCCTCCATATATGTGGCCCTGAGCTCTATAGCTCCATAGAGCAAACCCATGCTCCCTATCATAGGGTAGTCCTTGGCAGACAGTGGGCCCCATTGCCAGCACCTGTCTCTGGTTCTTGTCCCCTCACACTCTGGTTGGCCACTCTTCTGGACGGGCACTAGGGGTGGTGAAACACTGTGGGAGGGGGACTCTGCTCAGCAGGGCCAGGCCTGCAGGAATTCTTTTTTTTTTTTTTTTTAATATATTTTATTGATTTTTTTACAGAGAGGAAGGGAGAGGGATAGAGAGTTAGAAACATCGATCAGCTGCCTCCTGCACAACTTCTACTGGGGATGTGCCCGCAAACAAGGTACATGCCCTTGACCGGAATTGAACCTGGGACCTTTCAGTCCGCAGGCCGACGCTGTATCTACTGAGCCAATCTGGTTAGGGCTGCAGGAATTCTTTGAGCATGTGGGGAATCAGAGAAGCTGATGTAAAAAAGGCTGCAGAGTACAGATCTCAGGATAGAAGCGAGTAGCTTCCAAACCCTGCCTGCATAAAGCTGCTAACCTAGGCTGCTAGCTGTGTGCCAGGCTCAGAGCTAGGTATAAGATGTCTCAGAACTCATTCAGCTCTCACAGCTGGCTGGACAGGTGATTTTTCTGTATTTTATATTTGTGATGCAAAGAGGTTAGGTAACCTATACAGTGATGCACAGCTATAACTGACAGGACTGAGATTTGAACTCAGGTCTCCCTATATTCCACCACTGGAACTACAATGAAACAAACAAATTGAAGTGTAAGTCCAAAATGCAATTTTCTTCCAGGAATCCTCTAGCTAAGTATTTGCTAATTTTGTATCTGGCAATAATCCCTTGTATTTATACAGTAATTTTTTTTTTAAATAAATGTGCACCTTCATTTTATATGTATATTTTTCTTTGTTTCTAGAAAAGCTAATATTTGTCATGGTACTTATAGTATAAGATTCACAAGGTACAAAAGAATATTAAAATCAGTTTCAGTCCTTAAGAAAGTTAAACATAGAATTACCAGATGACCCAACAATTCCACTCCTAGATATGTACCCGAAAGAATTGAATACAGATATTTAAACAAAGCCCTGTACATGAGTGTTCAGAGTAGTGCTATTCACAATAGCAAGAAGGTGGAGACTACCCAAATGTCCATCAATGAATAAACAAAATGTGTTATAGTCATATATACAATCCTATATAATAAAAGGCTAATATGCAAATTGACCAATTGGCAGAACAACCAGTCGCAATGACATGCGCTGACCACCAGGGGGCAGATGCTCAACGCAGGAGCTGCCCCTTGGTGGTCAGTGCGCTCCCACAGGGGGAATGCCACTCAGCCAGAAGCCGGGCTTACAGCTGGCAAGCACAGTGGCAGTGGTGGGAGCCTCTCCCACCTCCGTGGCAGTGCTAAGGACCCCTTGGGGGGTGTCTGCCTGCCAGCTTAGGGGGAGTGGGCCTAAGCCAGCAGTCAGACATTCCCCGAGAGGTCCCGGACTGTGAGAGGGTGCAGGCTGGGCTGCACTGAGGGACTCTCTCCCCCCTACACCCCCGTGCACGAATGTTGTACACCGGGCCTCTGGTGGAATATAAAAATCCGTGAAAAGGATCAACGTGGATGAACCTCAAAAACATACTAAGTGAAAAAAGCCAGACATAAAAGGTCACATACTATATGATTTCTATTTATATGAAATATGTAGAATCATCAGCAATTCTGTAGAGACAGAAAGTAGATTTGTGGTTGCCAGGGGCTAGGAGATGAGAAATAGAGAGTAACTGCTAATAGAGGCAGTGGTGCTTGGGTTTTTGTTTGTTTGTGTGTGTGTGTGTGATGAAAATACTGGAGCTACATTGAGGTGATGGTTAGACAACACTGAATGTACTGAATTGTACATTTTACAGTGGTTAAAATGGCCTGGCCGGTGCAGCTCAGTGGTTGAGCATTGACCTA